GCCGCGCGGGGCCGACCTGCAATCGCCGGACTTAGCTAAGGGACCATTCGCAGAATGGACTTTTTCTCAGCAAGAAACACTCCTGCCCCCGCCGACTCTCTTTCTTCCTCCCACGGTCTCTGTGTCATTTCCCGTCGGCGATAACCCAGTAATTGCTCCTAGGCAGGTCTGCAAGGGGACCACGGAGTTATCGCGCCCCAAACGCAAGCCGCAGCAGAGGCACCGTGGGCCACGTTCACTGGCCGAGAGAGAGAGAGAAAGCTCCTCCTCGGAAAAAATAATTTTTAAATAATAAGGGGGGACTCTCTTGCCTCCTGCAAGAGCCCTCGGTTCCCCTGGAACCACCCGATTGCTTTCCAATCGTGGGCTGAGGTGGGCTCCCACCTCCCTGCGCGGAAAGGCCCCCCTCCCCCTCCCGANNNCCCTCCCCCTCCCGAAGAAAATCGATCTTGGCTCAATTTGTGTCTGAAGTCCGCCACCCCCATTTCCCCAGAGGGCGCTGGGTTTGTTTATTTCTTTATTTATTTCCCCGCGGCCGAGGCGTCCGGGACTGGTGGCTGCGCGGACCCCGGGACTGATGGGCGAAGACGGGGGAGAAATTAACCTCCCGCCGCTGCCCCCCAGTCGAGCGTGACAGCGCGCGGCCCGGTTGCGTGACTCGTGACGTCTCCGAGTCCTATAGGTGCAGCGGCTGGTGAGATAGCCGGTATCGCCTGGTTGCCTCTTTACTTTATTGGGGTATGCCCTGGTAATAAACAGTAATATTTAATTTGTCGAAGACCACAAACCAACTTCGAGCTGGGAGGTACATGCTACTCTTGACAGACGCTGGAAGAAGGTTTGGCCTAAGAGGGGGTCTCTTTTGGGGGTCTTTTCCAAACGCTTCACCTGAGCCCCCCCCACCCCAGCGAGGCGTCACCCCTGGCTTCTGCTCTGGATAGAAGAGGTGGGATTTTTGGAGGTGAGTGTCGCCCTGGAGAGCTCTGGGGAGGAGGGGGGGTAGCTTTCTCTCAGCTTTTCGCCTGCCTTGGTCCCCTAGCTTCCCGCCTCTCCTGGGTCCTGCCGAATCCCCCCCATCTCAGCGTGGCTACTTCTCAAGGGGGGGGCCAAATGAGGATGCACTTTCTCGCCTTTTGCCTTCGGGTGTCACCTGGCACGAATAGATCCCCCCCCCCC